TGTCCCAGGATGAATTAGGAAGGAGGGGGCTTCCACTGCTCCACAATCTGTGATCTCTGACCACCTCTGATCCCCTTCTGCCCTCTGTGGACCCATAGCCCCCTGTCAGTCCCTGAGGGCCTGCCTATCTCCATAGCAGTTCAAGATTGGATACTGCCCCTGCCCAATCTCCCAGGACCCTTCAATGACTCCACTTCCCTGCTGCTGAAGGCCAGAAGCCTAGCTTGGCCTCTCTCACTACCCATCCTCTCCCTGACCTTCCAGCCTCACCTTCTGCCTCCTGACTGCCTCCTCCCTACCCAGCTGGGATGGGCTCATTCTTGTCCTTGAATCTTTCCTCAGACCGCCAACTGCCTCTCTAGTCCACCCCTCCCATGAATCAGTGTCAGCAACCTGGAACCTCCCTCCTCAGATCTGTGACAATCTCACCTGCTGCTACGGGGGGGTCACCAACCCTAGGTGCCCACATCCAGCTCTCCACTCAGAGCCTGGGGAAGGTGGGATGGGGCATGTGATTTCTCTCTGTGCCCGGCACCAAGCCAGGCTGAGAGCAGCCACGGTGTTTGTGGAGGACACAGCCCCACTCTCTGCCCCCAGGTGCCGGTGTCTGAAGGCTGCAGCCAGGCTCTAATGCGTCTCATCGGCTGTCCCCTATGCCGGGGGGTCCCCTCACTTATGCCCTGCCGGGGCTTCTGCCTCAACGTGGTTCGTGGCTGTCTCAGCAACAGGGGACTGGAGCCTGACTGGGGCAACTATCTGGGTGAGGGGATTCAAGAAAGCCTGGAGCCAGGCATGGTGGCTCATGCCTGTAATCACAGCACTTTGAGAGGCTGAGGCAGGAGGATCACTTGAGGCCAGGAGTTGGAGGCCAGGTGGGGCAACATAGCTAGATGCCATCTCTACAAAAAAAGAAATTAGCCAGCTGTGGTAGCACACATGCCTGTAGTCCCAGTTACTCCTGAGCCTGAGGCAGGAGGATCTTGAGGCCAGGAGTTAGAGCCCAGCCTGAGCAACATAGCTAGACCCCATCTCTACCAAAAAAAAGAGAAAAGAAAAGGAAAGAAAGAAAGACAGAAAGAAACACAGAAAGAAAAGAAAGAAAGAAATTAGCAGGCATGGTGGCACACATGTCTGTTATCCCAGTTATTCCAGAGGCTGAGGCAGGAGGCTCCCTTGAGCCCAGGAGTGAGAGGCTGCAGTAAGCTGTGATGGTGCCACTCTACTCCAGCCGAGTGAGAGAGTAAGACCCTATCTTTAAGAAATCCTAAAATTTTAATTTTAATTTTTAAAACGTCTCTGGGATGGAGGAGGGCCCTGAGTAAGGTGGGGCGTGAACTGAAGAGGGGCTCTAAAGCCAAACTGAGGGGGAAACATGAGAGGGAACTCAGATGAGTTCCTCCCAAATACTTTGCTACTTCTCTAAGGCCCGAGTGAGGATTTTGGGGAACATCCTAGTTCACCACTCATCCCATACTTTCTTTCTCTTCCTCCCTTAAGATGGTCTCCTGATCCTGGCTGATAAGCTCCAGGGTCCCTTTTCGTTTGAGCTGGCGGCTGAGTCCATTGGGGTGAAGATCTCGGAGGGTTTGATGTACCTGCAGGAAAACAGTGGGAAGGTGTCCACCCAGGTACAGGGGAGAGAAGGGTGGAGGCGAGGCCCGGGGCAGGGACGGTGTAGGTGTCAGGGAGACAGTGTAGTACTCTGGGAAGAGACTCTGGAGTCAGAGTGGGGACGAAGTGTGGTTTTACCGCAGGGTGACTGTGTGAGGTCTCTTCTCCGTGCCGCAGGTGTTTCAGGAGTGCGGGCCCCCCCACCCGGTGCCGGCCCGCAACCGTCGAGCCCCGCCGCCCCGGGAAGAGCCGAGCCGGCTGTGGTCGATGGTTACCGAAGAGGAGCGGCCCACGACGGCCGCAGGCACCAACCTGCACAGGCTGGTGCGGGGGGCGGGGGGGACCGAGAGTTGGGGGTGAGGAGGGCCGGGGCCGGGGCCAGGGATGGGGGTCGCGCTCCAGCTCGCCCCGTCCCCTTTCGCCCGCCCAGGTGTGGGAGCTCCGGGAGCGCCTGGCCCGGATGCGGGGCTTCTGGGCCCGGCTGTCCCTGACCGTGTGCGGAGACTCTCGCATGGCAGCGGACGCCTCGCTGGAAGCGGCGCCCTGCTGGACCGGAGCCGGGCGGGGCCGGTGAGCCCCGGGGACCTGGAGGGACGGCAAGGGGCGGGGCCGCGGCCGGGAGGGGCGGGGCGCGCGGGCGAGCGGGAGCTTTGGGACTGCTCTGCTCGCAGGTACTTGCCGCCGGTGATCGGGGGCACCTCGGCCGAGCAGGTCAACAACCCCGAGCTCAAGGTGGACACCTCGATCCCCGATGTCCCGACACGGCGGCGTCGGTTACTGCTCCGGGCAGCCACGGCCAGGATGAAGGCGGCCGCACTGGGACACGACCTGGACGGGCAGGATGCGGGTGAGACCCGGGTGTCCCTGGTCCGGAGCCCCGCCCACTGCCCTTAAGCCCCCTCCCCACCCCGTAGTTCCCACCCGTGCCTCTGCTCTTAGCGTTCATTCATTCATTCATTCACTAATTCATTCAACCAGCATTTATTGAGCGTTGACCTCAAAGACTGAGGATAATAGACCAATGAGGGTGTCTTATCCTTTCGGGTCAGTAGGGGAGACACAAAAACATTCTTAGAGAACAGTGGGCAAAGGGCAGTGGGAAAATGGGGGAGGGGGCAACTTGGGGGAGGCTGGGAAGCCAGGGTGGTGGGTGACATTGAGCTGGCTTCCCAGGGTGAAGTTTGCCACACAGAGAAACAAGACACAGCCACTCATTGTTTTCTTCTTTCCTTCTCACTGTCTGTCTCTGTCTTTGTCACTCTTCCTCCACTCCTCTTCCTGGCTGCTCTCTGCTTCTGTGTACTTCTGATTTTTCTCTTTTCCTGTTATCCTCTCTCCCCATCTGCCTGTCTTTTTTCTGTCTCATTGTCTCCCATTATGATTTCTCCCTTCTGTGCCTGCTATCTGATCTCTCTTTTTCCCTCTTTCCCTGCTTTCCTGTCACTCACGGTCTTTCTCCCTTCCCCAACCCGGAATCCACCTGTATCTCCCTCCCGTGCCTCTCTCTTTCTGTTTTTATCCCAATTTCTTTTCCTCCTTCTGTCTCTCTCTGCCTCTCCTTCCCACCCTGTCTGTCTCTGTCCCTCTTCTTCCTTGCAGATGAGGACGCCAGTGGCTCTGGAGGGGGACAGCAGTATGCAGATGACTGGATGGCTGGGGCTGGGGCTCCCCGAGTTCGGCCTCCTCGGCCTCCATACCCTCCTCAAAGGGATGGTTCCGGGGGCAAAGGAGGAGGTGGCAGTGCCCGCTACAACCAGGGCCGCTACAACCAGGGCCGGAGCAGGAGTGGGGGGTCATCTATTGGTTTTCACACCCAAACCATCCTCATTCTCTCCCTTTCAGCCCTGGCCCTGCTTGGACCTCGATAACAGGGGAGGGGTGCCCTAGCATCAGAAGGGTTCATGGCCCTTTCCACTCCTTCCCTCTCAGCTGGGCCTGGGGAGGAGTTGAAGGGGGCTGCAAAGAGGGTAGAGAAGGGATTTTACAGGTGAATGGCTGGGGCCCCAAATCCAGGAGAGTTTCATCAGGAGTGGGTGGGTGTCCACAATATTTATTTTTTCATTTGGTAACAGGGGAGGGGGATGTGGGGTATTTATTTAGGAAGGACTGTGATTTCCTCAGAGGGTATAGTCTTCAGCCCTCTAAGGCTGGGGCTGGTGATCAGCCGCAACAGAAAGTGAGGAGTTTAGAGTTGCAGCTGGGGAAGGGGATTGAAGGAAGTTGGAAGTGGGGAGGGGTGGGGGCATCTGGTCTCAAAAATGGACAAAGCCGGATGCTGACTGGGTGCAGGGCAGGGGACTGGGGGGCGTGTGAGTAGGATGTGAGGCTTCATGGACTTGAGTTCTTCTGTTGAGTTTCTTCAGTATCAATTTACTTAACCAAAATTTAAAAAAACAAGGAGGGGGTGCTCATCTCATGACCTCTGCCATCCACATCCTTCACAAACTCCATATTTCAGTGTTTTGAGTCTGTGTTTATTCTGCAAATAAATGGTAATGTATGGGACCCTGAGTGTGGCTTTCCATGCTGTCAGCGTTAGTCTCTAAGCCCTGGCTCCTAGCAGAGGCATCAGAGCCTCTGTGGTTGGCTTATTTTCTGCCTGCTTTTCACTTCCCTTGGCATCTGACCCCCAGGGAGGAAATGGGTCTAGGGAATGACCCCTGATCTCTAAATTTTCCACCCTCTGGGCCCCTGAGCATCTTCGTTTGTAAAACAGGGAGAATTGTGGGGACCAAATAGGAATTGTGTGAAAAAGCATCTTATCACCTGCAAACTGCTCTTTGAACACGAGGCATTATTATCATTATTATTATTTTGAGATGGAATCTCTTGTCACCCAGGCTGGAGTACAGTGGTACAATGATCTTTGCTCACTGCAACCTCCATCTTGAGGGTTCAAGCGATTCTCCTGCCTCAGCCTCTCAAGTAGCTGGGATTACAGGGGCCTGCCACCATGCCTGGCCAATTTTTGTATTTTTAGTAGAGACAGGGTTTCACCATGTGGGCCAGGCTGGTCTCAAACTCCTGACCTCAGGCGATCCGTCCACCTCAGGCGCGCGCAATCCACCAGCCTCCGGCTCCCAAAGTGCTGGGATTACAGCCATAAGCCACCGCGCAGGCGGGCCACGAGGCATTATTAACCTGACCACACCACTGCCTCCTGCCTTCAAAGTGGGAGGCCTTGTTCTCTGAGCGTCAGTCTCTGGCTACCTTGCCACGTCCTTGACAATGTCTGCTTTCAAATATCACTTTCTCCTTCTTTCTTTACACCGCTTGAATGCATCTTTTGTGCTTCGGCAAGCCAAGAGAAAATGGAAGGATTGATTCCCTAAGTGTGAAAGGGGGGTGGAAGTGGTGTCTTTGAAGGGGAGTCTGGGTGCCCTGCCGGAGAGGGGAAGATGCAGTGGGGGAGAGACCTAGAACCGCGATCAAAGCTGCTGCAGCTGCTGGGGCTGGCGGGACAAAGGGAGGAGGGAGGAGCCTGGGCTCTGAGAAAGTTCGTGGGGAAAGTTGAGCTGAGCCAAGAGTCGGGCGGTGGCTGGGGAGGGCAGGAGGGCCCAGCCCGATTTCCCTTGCTGTTCCCCTTGTGGCCTGGTGAGTGGGAAATGAAACCAAAGATAGGACCAGTGGAGGGGCCCTCTAATCTATGGAAGAAGACATGAGGGGTTCATGGGATTCCGGTGGGGGCAACTGACTGGGCAATCACCAAAGCTGGAGAGGACAGAAGGCTGGGTGGGATCTCCAGTCATGGGAAGGGAGAGATAGAGGGAAGGAAATGAAGAACTCTGGATAGGGGAAACGAGGCTGGACCTTAGGGGCTGTGATTGGGGAGGAAATTGGGGAGTGATGCCAGAAGGGGCAGGTCTCTGGGAGTAAAAGTGTGGCTTCTCTCTGCCTGGGGTTACCCCTGGCTCGTCGGAGCTGGGGGCTGTCCTGGCTTGTTGGAGGGGCCGTGGTTCCTGATCGTGAGTTGTAATCTGAAGGGGTGGGGCCGGACTCCGGGTCGATTAGGAAGCTGGGGCTTGAGAAGGAACTCCGCAATTAGTGTTTGTGTCTTTCTCCGTATCTTTCTGTCAGTCTCTTCTCTCTCTCTCTCTCTGTCTCTCTCTCTCCCTCCCTCCCCCTCTGCAGCCCCACCCTTTCAATCTCCTCTGAATGCACTAAGGTTGGAAAGTGTAATGGGGGGTAAGTCCAGGGATCTGGGCTTCATAAGTAGCCATACATCTCCCCCAGCCCCTGTCGCATGCGGGGGTCTGCCCATGCTGAGAAAGAAGAAAAACACGTGCCGGAGTTTATAACACAATGGCCCGTTGCAAACCCACTCCTGGAAGTCTAACCTCCCTTCCTCCTTCCTGGGTTCATCCACCTGTGTCCTCCCTTCCTCCTGCCTGGGTTCATCCACCTGTGTCCTCCCATCCTCCTGCCTGGGTTCATCCACCTCTGATCCTCACTCCCTTTGTTTGGCTTCCCTTCCTGGCCCTGGGATAAGGTTCTTAATCCCCATCTGTGACAGCCAGAGAGGCCCAGTGTCAGGACCATGATCTGACCTGAGTGTCTTAATGAGCTGATTGGTCTGATCTCTCTCTTGCTGGCTATTTCATTCATAATCTGGGTTGTTGTTTTTTTTCTCTCTCTCCTTCCCTTCTAAGTCCCCGAGGATCAGGGACAGCTGTAGGTGGGGAGCTGGGGGAAGTGGAGATAAGAAAATGATAGAGCAGAGGGAGTAGTTGTGGGGCCACTTCAAAAGTCTGGGTGTAGACAGCATCCCCAGCCACTCCCCTTCCCTGAACCAGGTCTCCTCTGCCTCTCTCCTTAGACTCCCCTTCTTCCCCCGTCATTTCCCTTCTAGACGCTGACAGAGGCAAAAATCTGCTAACTCAGGGGGCAGACTCAACCAAGACTGTGAGCAGGCCTGGGGAATGACCCCCCGATCTCCAACCGGCGCCTTCCACGGCTGCACGGCTGTCTCCAGCTGTCTCTGCCCCTGTTTCTGGCCCTAGCTCCATCCCTTTCTCACTTCACCCTTCCCTGTACCACATGGGCTCTCTGTCTCCTGCCAGGACGCTGCGGCTCTGGGGACCTCGGAGCCTGGGGGTGGCTCTGGGAGTCTTCATGACCATTGGCTTTGTGCTCCAGCTCTTGGGAGGGCCCTTCCACAGGAGGTGAGTTCCTACTTTGCCCCAACTCCCTCTAGATGCCCCAAGCTTGCTCTTCCCCATCCCACCTGGGGCTGGTGACTCTTGGGGACTCAGAAGCCTCCATGCCCTCTGCCCCTTCTACCCAAGAAGCCCATTTGCTGCTGAGGGACAGAAGACTCCCCCTCCATCTCTTTCCAGGCTACAGCCCTTGGCCCCATCCCTACGACCAGCCTTTCTGTCCTGCCCTCCCCGGCAGCGACTGGTGTTCCTGAAGACGCATAAATCTGGAAGCAGCTCTGTGCTGAGCCTGCTTCACCGCTACGGGGACCGGCACGGACTGCGCTTTGCCCTCCCCGCCCGCTACCAGTTTGGCTACCCAAGGCTCTTCCAGGCCTCGAGGGTAAAAGGCTACCGCCCCCAGGGTGGAGGCACCCAGCTCCCCTTCGACATCCTCTGTCACCACATGAGGTTCAACCTAAAAGAGGTAAGGAGTGTCACAGGGGTGGGAGGGACCAGAAAGAGATGTGATCAGGCCTGGGGCTGACACTACCAAGAGAGGGGACCCAGACCTGGGGGATCCCCAGGCACCATTTTACTCTAAATTTGGACATGGGGGCCACAAAGGTGGGGTTTCCTGCCACCCTCTCTACAGGTGTCCCTTCCCCCATAGTTTCTGGGAGCCCGAGTCCTCCTTTCACCCTGGTGCTTACTTCAGTCTCTCTCTTTCACCACTGTATTTCCCTGGCGTCAGTGCCCTGCCAACTCTGCCCCCAACTCTCCCTCCAGGTGCACCTTACCCTTCTTTTTTTTTTTTTTTTTTTTTGGAAAACATCTTGTTCTATCACCTAGGCTGAAGTGCAGTGGCACAATCATAGCTCACTGCAGCCTTGACTTCCCAGGCTCAAGTGATCCTCTCACCTCAGCCTCCTGAGTAGCTGGGGCTAAGGCATGCACTACCATACATGGCTACTTTTTAATTTTTTGTAGACACAGGGTCTTGCTTTGTTGCCCAGGCTGATCTCAAACTCCTGGGCTTAAATAAATAAATAAATATTCCTGGGCTCAAGTGATCTGCTTACCTTGGCCTCCCAAAGGGTTGGGATTATGGGAGTGAGCCACCTTGGCCAGCTTTTGTGCGTGCGTGCGTGTGTGTGTGTGTGTGAGAAAGGGTCTCTCACTCTGTCATCCAGGCTGGAATGCAGTGGTGCAATTATAGCTCACTGCAACCTCAAACTCCTGGACTCAAGCGATCTTCCCACCTCAGCCTCCCAAGTAGCTGGGACTATAGGTGCATGCCACCACACCCGGCTAATTTTTAAAATTTTTTTGTAGAGATGGGGTCTCACTAATGTTGCCCAGGCTGGCCTCAAATGATCCTCCATCTCAGACTTACAAGTAACTATGATTACACACCCCCCTTCCCTTTCTTAGCTTCCCTTCCACTGTCACACCAATGCTCCAGCTCCCCCACTGCTTTCTGACTTGTCTTCTTCAACCCCCTCACATGTCTGGCATTTTCAATGATCAGCTGTATGTTTAGCTCAGGGCTAAGCACAGCAGAATAGCTGGGTGGAAGCCCAGTCCTGACCCCCAGGAGCCTCTGTTCTAATAGTGGAGACAAGAACATACATAGTCACATACTCAGACACACACAGGAAACTGAGGCTCCTGCAGGAAGAAAATCAATGTGTAATTGAAACATATAGGGAAGAAATTAAACCTGACTGAATATTTACTGGTGCTGAGTACTAAACTTCCTATCACCTTGCCAGGAAGGCATTTTAAGTGTCTCCATTACACATATGAGGAGTTTGAGTCTCAGAGAGCTGAAGTGACTTTCACAGATAGAAAAATGGCACCCTACTGAATAAATGTGGAGAAAAAAAAAGAAAGAAAGAAAAAAGAAAAATGGCACCCACTAGGCACAGTGGCTTACCCCTATAATCCCAGCACTTTAGGAGGCCGAGACGGAGGATCACTTTAGCCTGCGGTTTGAGACCAGCCTGGGCAACACGTGCATGTGTGTGTATCTGGAATGGTGAGAAGGGTATTCACCAAAGGGGTGAGGCTTTCTGGAGAGGGGGTTTTATTTTACTTTCTTATTTAATTTAATTAATTTATTTATTCAGAGACAGAGTCCTGCGCTTTTCCCCTGGCTGAAGTGTAGTGGCATGATCTTGGCTCACTGCAACCTCCACCTCCTAGGTTCAAGCAATTCTCATGCCTCCCAAGTAGCTGGGACTACAGGCCTGTGCCACTACACCTGGCGAATTTTTGTACTTTTAGGAGAGATGGGATTTCGCCATGTTGACCCGGTTGGTCTTGAACTCCTGATCTCTAGTAATCCGCCCGCCCTCGTCTTCCCAAAGTGCTGGGATTACAGGTGTGAGCCACAGTGCCCAGCTGAGAGTGGGGATTTTAAAGGAAAAGATGGATATGGCTGTGTCATGGAGAACATCAGGCATTCTTACAGGGAGCAAATCAGCAGCAAGGACATGGTGGGGTGCATGTGTGTGTGCATGTAAGAGGGAGAATGTCTGTTCTGGGGGTAGAACTTCGGCAGGGGCTGCAAAGTCACCCTTGCCGAAGCTAGAGCTGGAGACAGCAGCTGAGGACATGGGCATGCTCTAATGGGCAACCTAAAGGCCACTGTTAGAAGTAAGGCAGTGACAGTGACCTTTGAGGTAGGTTTCTCCAGAGGCTAGGGTGATGGCCTTCACTGATACCACCATTCATTGACTACCTACTGTGTTCCGGACACTTGCGCATTCGTCCAGGTGTTACCCAGTTACACAGATTTCTAGATGGAGGAATGAAGGTTCTGAGACGTTCGATAACCCACCCAAGGTCACAGAATTAGTAAATGGCAGAGTGGGATTTTATTCCAGGTCCATCAGATGCCAAAGACTGTTTTCTTCAGTTTCTCCTCTGCTTTCAAAGAGACCTACAAGGCCAGGCATGGTGGCTCATGCCTGTGATCCGAGTGCTTTAGGATGCTGAGGTGGGAGGATGACTTGAGCCCAGGAGTTCGAGGCCAATCTGGGCAACATAGCAAGTCCCTGTCTCTATAAAAAAAATTAAAAATTAACAGGGCATGTTGGTGTGCACCTATAGTCCCAGCTACTCAGGAGGACTATACTAGGTTGGGGAATCCCTTGAGCCCAGGAGTTTTTAAGGCTTCAATGAGCTATGATATGCTGCCTAGATGACAGAGCAAGGAGACAGTCTCTCCAAAAAAAAGAAGAAAATAAACAATCAGACGCTAAAATACTTATTTCCCATTTCCACCCCCGACCCACCCCCCCAAAAAAAAAAAGAGAGAGAGAGTTCACAGGCTGTTGTTCAGGTGTGCCATATTTGCAGAGCCGATTGAAGAACACCATGGCAGAGAGAAGTCAGATTCAATAATGGAAGTCATTTTTGGAGGCAGAAACCCTTCAAGGAGTCCAGGAGCTAGGTTCTGACCTGCTTCAGCCTGCAGGGCCACATTAGGGTGTGGTGCAGCCTGATCTCCACCTTCCTTCTTGCAGAGCAACAGAATCACATGTCCCAGTCCCCAGAGCAGCATCCTACCAGGCAGCTGTGGCTTCCCAGGGCCTTGGCTCAGGGTGTATTTTGCCCTCTGGGATGCCCAGGACTCCCTGAAGTGTTTTACCATTCAATCCCCTGAAGTCTCCAACCATTCTGGGCCTGGCCTATCCACCTGCTGCCTATGTCCCAGATGGCATTATAGTTGCTCCTTCTCACTCTTTGCTGCCAGTGATGCCCCTCCTATGGCCTGAGGAGGCTAGGGCCAGTTCCCTTCCTGGAGCTATGACCAACAGCCCCAGGGCAGGCACTCAATAGGTTTTTGCTGGAGAAATGAGTACAAAGGTTGGTTCCTAGAGGTTTTACTGACTAAGGCAGACAGAAATGCCCAAGGAAATTAATGTTCTCCAGGAGTTTCCTATGCTCTAGGTTTCCTTCCCTCCCTTCTCTTTTTTCTTTTCTTTTTCCCCGTCCTTTCCCTCCTCTCTCTTCCCCTCCCCTCTCTTCCTTTGTCCTTCCCCTCCCTCCCCCTCCATCCGCTCCCTTCCTCTCTCCTCTTCTCCTCCCCTCCCTTTCCTTCCTTCCTTTCTTCTTCCCTTCCTTCTCCTTCCTTTCCTCCCTTCTTCTCTCTCTCTTGTGCGCACGCACTCCTCTTTCCTTCCTTTTTTTTTTTTTTGAGAAGTAGTCTCACTCTGTCACCCAGGCTGGAGTACAGTCATGCAAACTCTATCACCCAGGTTCAAGCGATTCTCCTGCCTCAGCCTCCTGAGTAGCTGGGATTACAGGTGCCCGCCACTGCACCCAGCTTATTTTTTGTAATTTTAGTAGAGACAAGTTTTCACCATCATGGCCAGTCTGGTCTTGAACTCCTGACCTCATGATCCACCCACCTTGGCCTCCCAAAGTGCTGGGATTACAGGTGTGAGCCACCGCCACCAGTCCTTTTCTTTCAAGGCAGGGTCCTGCTGCGTTACTCAGGCATGTCTTAAAATTCTGGGCTCAAGCGATCCTGCACCTCAGCCTCTAGAGTAGCTGGGACTACAGGTGTATGCCAGGATGTCCTAACTTATTTTTAAGTTCTGGGATACATGTGCAGAACATGCAGGTTTGTTACATAGGTATACATGTGCCACGGTGGTTTGCTGCACCTATCAACTCGTCATCTAGGTTTTAAGCCTTGCATGCATTAGGTATTCGTCCTAATGCTCTCCTTCCCCTTGCCCCCAACCCCCTGACAGGACCAGGTGTGTTGTTCCCCTCCCTGTGTCCATGTGTTCTCATTGTTCAACACTCACTTATGAGTGAGAACATGTGGTGTTTGGTTTTCTGTTCCTGCGTTAGTTTGCTGAGAATGATGGCTTCCAGCTTCATCCATGTACCTGCAAAGGACGTGATCTCATTCTTTTTTACAACTGCATAGTATTCCATAGTGTATATGTGCCACATTTTCTTTATCCAGTCTATCATTGATTGCCCTGCTAATGTTTTTAGTTTTATTTTTGTAGAGACAGGGTCTCAATATGTTGCCCAGGGTGGCCTCAGCAACATAGTAATGCTCAAGCCATCCTCCTGCCTCAGCCTCCTGAGTAGCTGGGACTACAGGCACACACCATATGCCTGGCTCTGTGCTCCAGGTTTCTTTGTATGTTTTATCTCATGTATCTTTCATAATCACTTGAGAAAGTATGATTATCCTCATTTTGCAGATAAGCAGGTTGAATCTCAGAGATGTTAAGTAACTTGCCACGCAGCAAGTGATGGAAGCTGGGGATTCCTAGCAGAGCTGGGAGAAGGAGGTTTGAGGAGGCTGGATAGGTGGACACGTGGCTTGTGCATACTTATGCATGTAGGGTCCAGCCCTACCTCACAGGGTCCTGTGAGCCCCTCTCTATGGGTATGGAGACGAGAAACTGTGGAAATAAAAGACATAAGACACCAAGAAAGAGAAAACAGAATTTGGGCCCAAGGGTCCACTGCCAACCAAAGTACAGAGTCTGGCAGTGGCCCCGAGTGCCTGGACGCCCTGATTTTATTGAGTACAAAGCAGGGAGCAGGGTGGGTAGGGCCAGGCATTGGTGGTCAGTGATAGGATCATGTAAATCACATGTCTTGGAGATAGGTGCCTGGGACTTTCAAGTAACCAAGTCGAGGAGAAAACTTAATGCATCAGCACTTTTCGCATACTTGTCAAAAATATCAAGGGCATTAAGATTTATGTTACCATTACTAATTCTTATCTTCTAAGAAAAAGAGGAACCAGGTACAGAAGCAGAACATGAAGGTAGACATGAGACATGACCACTGAAGCACAGCATCACATAGAGACAATTAAGCCCCCCGGATGTCTGTGGGTTTCCCTGACAGCCATCAGGCCTACCACAAGAGCTTGGAGAGTGGAGTTTTCTCCTAAGTCTCCCAGGAAGGAGATGTCTTGGCCATTTTGGACGTCTCCTTCCCTAGCTGGCTAAACAGTGGGCGCTTTCCCAGCACTAACACTGCGACACAGCCGAGGCGCCCTCCAGCAGCCCTTATGCAGTCATGACAGAGGACTTAGAGCATCTTGCCTCAGGGTCACCTCCTTCCCAATGCCACTTCAGTTCCACACTTCATGGCCTGAGAATCATTAGTAAAATTAAAAGCTTATTCTAAGTATATATATATCTTTATGATTACATGTGAATAACCCTAAATGATTATATATGATTATACATAGGAATAACTATGTGCTTATATTTCTAATTCTTTTCTAATTCAGTATTCATATGGGAGCAGGCTGAGGTTTCAGACCTTTGCCTCGGCACTTGCCGGGTTCCCCCCGACATATGCATACCTGCTCCCCAGCCCAGTTCTCTGTCTGTCTTCTCTCCTCTGCAGGTACTTCAGGTCATGCCTTCTGACAGCTTCTTTTTTTCCATTGTCCGTGACCCAGCAGCTCTGGCTCGCTCTGCCTTCTCCTACTATAAATCCACCTCATCAGCCTTCCGCAAGTCACCATCCTTGGCTGCCTTCCTGGCCAATCCTCGAGCCTTCTACAGGCCTGGGGCCCATGGGGACCACTACGCTCGCAACTTACTATGGTTTGACTTTGGCCTCCCCATTCCCCCAGAGATGAGGGCCATGAGCAGGAATCTTCATCCCCCCAGAGACCCCAATGCCCCAGAGCTGCAGGTCTTGCCCTCTGGTGCTGGCCCTCGAGCGCAAGCCCTCAATCCCAATGCCCTCATCCATCCTGTTTCCACTGTTGCTGATCATGGCAGCCAGATATCAAGCCCTGCCTCTTTCGATATAGGGTCTTCATCCTTTATTCAGTGGAGTCTGGCCTGGCTGGACTCTGTCTTTGACCTGGTAATGGTGGCTGAGTACTTTGATGAGTCATTGGTTCTGCTGGCAGACGCCCTGTGTTGGGGTCTGGATGATGTGGTGGGCTTCATGCATAATGCCCAGGCTGGACGTGAGCAGGGCCTCAGCACTGTCAGCAACAGTGGACTGACTGCAGAGGACCAGCAGCTGACAGCACGGGCCCGAGCCTGGAACAACCTGGACTGGGCTCTCTATGTCCACTTCAACCGCAGTCTCTGGGCACGGATAGAGAAATATGGCCAGCGTCGGCTGCAGACAGCTGTGGCTGAGCTCCGGGCTCGCCGAGAGGCCCTGGCCAAACACTGTCTGGTAGGGGGTGAGGCTTCTGACCCCAAATACATCACTGATCGCCGGTTCCGCCCCTTCCAGTTTGGGTCAGCTAAGGTTTTGGGCTATATACTTCGGAGTGGATTGAGCCCCCAAGACCAAGAGGAGTGTGAGCGCCTGGCTACCCCTGAGCTCCAGTACAAGGACAAGCTGGATGCCAAGCAGTTTCCCCCGACCATATCACCGCCCCTCAAGACTTCAAGGCCACTCTCCCCATAGACATCAGACTACAGATTTACATGGAAAAGCACCCATGTTTGAAGGGCACATGGGATGAGTTGGGGGGGGCAGCAAGATGCCACTTCTGCATCTCTCAGAAGGGATGGGGCTTCGATGGGCTCCCAGCAGTGCTTCCCTCCTCCACTCATTTTGCCCCTTTCTTTATTTTATTTTATTTTATTTTTTTGAGACAGAGTCTTGCTCTGTCCCCCAGACTTGAGTGCAGTGGCACGATCTCGGCTCACTGCAACCTCTGCCTCCCAGATTCAAGCGATTCTCCTGCCTCAGCCTCCCAAGTAGCGGCATTACAGGTACATGCCACCACACCCAGCTAATTTTTATATTTTTAGTAAAGACAGGGTTCAACATGTTGGTCAGGCTGATCTCGAACTCCTCACCTCAGGTGATCCACATGGCTCTGCCTCCCATAGTGCTGAGATTACAGGCTTGAGCCACCACACCGGCCTCCGCTTCCCCTTTCCTGCCCCAAGGCAGATCCACATCACCAAAGCTCCCTAGAGGGGCAAAAGATGGAGTGAGCCACAGAAAGTTTGGTGCATGGTGAGTTGGAATAATACGTCAATTTCTCTACCAAATATTTGTTACTGGACTGTTCATTTCACTCTGAAATGTTTGCTGAATGAATAAATAATTTGAAACTTCTACTTGATTTATGGAGGGTAAAAAGGGGAGGGATGGAGAATCTTCCTGGGAAAGGTGGGGTTGGAAGGGGTCTTTTTTTTTTTTTTTTTTTTGAGACACGATCTCACTCTGTCACCCAGGCTGCAGTCCAGTGTCCCAATCATAGCTCACTACAGCTTCAAACTCCTGGGCTCAAAAGAGCCTCCTGTGTAGGCCTCCTAAGTAGCTGGGATTACAGGTGCGCGCTACCGCGCCTGGATAATTTTTACATTTTTTGCAGAGAGGAGGTCTTGTTATGTTGGCCAGACTGGTCTCAAACTCCTGACCTCAAGCGATCCTCCCGCCTCGGCCTCCCACAGTGCTGGGATTACAGGCGTGAGCCACCCCGCCCGTCCGACACGGTACTTCTTACATTTCTTCTCCAAGAAGTTTGGCGGCAACCCCAGCTTGTATTCTTGCTCTCCGTCTCAGCACAGCCGGACCCCGCCCCCTCCTCCAAGGTCCGGGCACCCGCCGAGTTTGGGGACTTGGCGGCCACGCCCCCTCCCTTCCGCTTCCGGTTTATCTCGAGTCATTCGGCTCCGTACTCCGGTTCCGGCGCCGGCGGGTCTCGGTTCCGGGTTCGTTGCCCGGGTGCCGGGACCGGGCGGGTCTCTCAGGCCGCCCAGCCACGCGCAGCAGCCCGAGGTGTCGGGGCCCTCTGGACCCACCCTAGCGGGCCCCGCCGGAGAGCAGCCTCCGGCCCGGGCTCCCGGTTGCGCCGTCCTCGCCGCCCCATGGAGTCTCAGTGCGACTACTCCATGTACTTCCCGGCCGTGCCGCTGCCGCCGCGCGCGGAACTAGCAGGGGACCCGGGCCGGTACCGGGCGCTGCCCAGGCGCAACCATCTGTATTTGGGGGAGACTGTCCGCTTCCTGCTGGTGTTGCGCTGCCGAGGCGGCGCGGGGTCCGGCGCCGGGGGCGGCCCGGGCTTGGGCTCCCGAGGGGCCTGGACAGAACTGGCAACCGCCCTGGCTGCCCTGGCCTCGGTCAGCGCCGGAGGCGGGATGCCGGGGGGCGGAGGCGCCGGCGACCAGGATTCGGAGCCCCCAGGGGGAGGGGATCCTGGGGGGGGTGGTTTGTTCCGAGGCTGCAGCCCCCTTCTCACTCACGGCCCGGGCCCTGCTACCTCAGGGGGAGCGACCACGGTGAGGAGCTTCGGGGGACCCGGCACAGGGCGGAGGGGCGGTTTGCTGGGGGCCTGAGGCAGGAGGCAGATAACCTGCAGGTCTTAAAGGGAAAGGCTGCAGGCTGCCTCTGACTAGCTCCTGACCTCTTCACCCCTTTCCCAACCCCAGCTGCCTGTGGAGGAACCGATTGTGTCCACAGATGAGGTCATCTTCCCACTCACCGTTTCACTGGATAGACTGCCCCCAGGGACACCTAAAGCCAAGGTAAGATGAGCAAGGGGTGGAGCTGTTGTCCCAATTCAGATACCTTTCCCGGGCTCAGCCATCTGTCTCTCCTCTTGACAGATTGTAGTGACTGTGTGGAAGCGGGAGGTTGAGGCACCAGAGGTCAGAGATCAAGGCTACCTGCGATTGCTGCAAACCCGATCTCCTGGGGAGACCTTCCGGGGCGAGCAGAGCGCTTTCAAGGCCCAAGGTGGGGAGGAGAGCGCAGAGACGAAGGGCTAGAGTCTGGGAATTGGAGGACAGAGGGGAGGAGTCACACTGGAAAGTGGCTAATGGGCTCTGAGAAGAGGAAGGTGAGAACTCTCGGTTAGAGGTGAGGTCAGCCCCCAGACCATCAATTCTTGACACACCTCCTCCCTCAGTGAGCACGCTGCTGACTCTGCTGCCCCCTCCGGTTCTGAGATGCCGGCAGTTCACTGTGGCTGGAAAACACTTGACCGTGCTCAAGGGTAAGCAAGTCGGCCGGCTGCAGCCTCCGGAAGCAGTAAGGGAACTGATTGGATGCAGTTCCTCAGGGCAGGCTGGTGGCGTAGGTCTGGTTTTTTCTGGGTAAAGGTGGGGCCTGAGGGTCTAGCTATTCTGAACCGAGCTGGTCCTCTCCAACAGTGCTGAACAGTTCCTCCCAGGAGGAAATCTCCATCTGGGATATCCGAATCCTCCCCAACTTCAATGCCAGTTATCTACCTGTCATGCCCGATGGCTCTGTGCTGCTGGTCGACAATGTCTGGTGAGGTCCTGGGAGGCGTGAGGCTGTGAAGTGGTGGGGATGGCATCAGGGGCCAAGCTCTGCCATGGGGAGACCATGCCCTGTCCTCTTTTCTGAGCTAGTCACCAGTCTGGGGAAGTCTCTATGGGCTCCTTCTGCCGACTACCCGGCACCTCTGGCTGCTTCCCCTGCCCACTAAATGCCCTGGAGGAACACAACTTCCTGTTTCAGCTGAGAGGGGGTGAGCAGCCCCCTCCAGGGGCCAAGGAGGTGAGTATAAGGGGCTAGTGTCTTCAAGGAAAAGGGATAAAGCAGTGGGAGGGAAAGACCAGCTGGCTGACTCAAGATGGGAGGGGTACTTTAATGCCCGCGCCAACCCCCTTTGTCCCTCCCGAAGGGCCTGGAAGTTCCCCTGATTGCTGTGGTTCAGTGGTCCACCCCGAAGCTGCCGTTCACTCAGAGCATCTATACACACTACCGGTAAGTGTGGATCCTGGAGGAACCATGCCATTCACCTTTGTGGCCTGACACACACAGCCAGCAGCCCTCTCTCACCACTCCTAGCCTGCCCAGTGTCCGCCTAGATCGCCCGTGTTTCGTGATGACCGCTTCTTGTGAGTCCCCTGTTCAGACCTACGAGCGTTTCACTGTCACCTATACGCTGCTCAATAATCTCCAAGACTTCCTTGCTGTGAGGCTCGTGTGGACCCCGGAGCACGCACAGGCTGGTAGGTCAGCTGCCAGGCGGGGATCTGGTCCCCAGGGAGGGGAGGGAAAAGAAAAAAGCCTAGGAGGCAGGCAATGAAAAGAGCCACACTTGGTGCCAGTCCTACCACAGGAGGCGACTCGTGGCAGGCAGCTTCCACCCTGTACCCGGGTGGTCTCTGCAGTGTCCCAAATGGAGAGTTTAGAGAGGCAGTGGGGCAGAGTGACTTTCAGGGCATGGACACTAGAGCTTTACTCACTGTTGTGAGCTCTACTTCTCTCCTTTACTAGTTGTGTGACCTTGAGTAAGTTACTTAACCTCTCTGGGCCTCAGAGTCCTCACCTCTAAAATAGAGCGACTCATATCTCATGGGACTGTCAGGCAGATACTGAGTTAATATACATGATGTGCTTAGGACAGACCCTTCACACAGTAAGTATTAGCCATTGTTATCTACAATATGCACAAAAGATAACGTTTGCTCAGTTTACTCTACAGAGTGGCTTTGAGGATCAGATGAGACTGTGCTGGCGAAGGCCCTGTGGGAATGAGGAACGCTGTAGTGTTTGCTGGTCCCTGTTTCTGCCCCCAGGAAAGCAGCTGTGTGAGGAGGAGCGCCGGGCCATGCAGGCCGCCCTGGACTCCATCGTCTGCCACACGCCCCTCAACAACCTCGGCTTTTCCCGGAAGGGCAGTGCGCTCACCTTCAGTGTGGCCTTCCAGGCTCTGAGAACGGGGCTCTTCGAGGTGGGCTGGGGAGGATCTGGGCTGAGCGCTGAGTGGTGCAGAATGCTGGGGTGGGCAGAGGCAGGACCCTTAGATTTTGGGGATGAAATAAAAAGCCAGGCAGAGGGAAGGTGGGATTTAGATTTGACATCGGTCTGTCACTTGGGGAAGATCATTTGGAAGGAAGCCTGGGCCCTGGAAGCCGAGCTGGCATGCTGACCTGTGTTTCCCGGCAGCTGAGTCAGCACATGAAACTGAAGCTGCAGTTCACCGCCAGCGTGTCCCACCCTCCACCCGAGGCACGGCCCCTCTCCCGCAAGAGCAGCCCCAGCAGCCCTGCTGTCCGGGACTTGGTAGAGAGGCACCAGGCTAGCCTGGGCCGCTCCCAGTCCTTCTCCCACCAACAGCCTTCCCGAAGCCACCTCATGAGGTACAGAACCAGGGGATATGGCATGGGACTGGGTAGAGGCTGGGGGCAGGGAAGGTCCCGGGTCTGACCAGCACCCACAGCCTCTGCCTTCCCCTAGGTCGGGCAGTGTGATGGAGCGCAGGGCCATCACGCCCCCTGTGGCCTCTCCTGTTGGCCGCCCCCTCTACCTGCCCCCAGACAAGGCTGTGCTGTCTCTGGACAAGATTGCCAAGCGCGAGTGCAAGGTCCTGGTGGTGGAACCCGTCAAGTAGCACCATGCCAGCTCTGCTCCCTCTTATACTCCAGAGACCCAACGCCCCCAGAGGGGATCCCTGTTCCCGAGCTTTGCCTCCCCTGGGATGCCTCCCAGACGGGGGCGAAGAGGCCCGGCAGTGCTGCCTGACTGTGTCTGCTGATGAGGGATGGGGGAAGAAGCTGTGAAGTGGGCGGTCATGGCTGGGACTAAGCCACCAGTATTCCCCGAGTTCCTGTGGGGAGGGCTGGCCCCACCCCAAGCCAGGGCAGGGGTTCCCAGAGCTCCCTTGCCCCCCGCCCATGACCCTGGTTCTAAGTTTACAAACTCTCTTCCTCATTCCCATTTCATTATTTCCCATCTCTTGACATTCCCTCCCTCCATCCCTCCTGCAGGGCTGATATTAGAGGGTGGTGATGGGTAAGGGCCCCTGACAGTGACCCTCCTGTCTCGGGTTGGGGACAGAGCCAGGTGGCCTCCTTCTGCCCCTTCATGTTTACGTTTGCAGCCTGAAGCACTTTAAGTTGTTTTTCTTTTTTTTTTTTTTTTTTTTTGTCAGTTCCTGTAACTTATTCTCCAACCATTGCTTCCAACTGAAATAAGACTATTAAATGCCTGTTCAGGAGGGAGAAGGACGACTAGTTTGTGTATGTATTGCTGGGAAGAGCAGGGGTCGCCAGGGCTCAGAGCGACTCCCTTCCCCTCCAACTTTTTTTTCTTTTTTTTTGGAGACAGTCTTGCTCTGTCGCCAGGAGACTGGAATGCAGGGGCATG